AATATTCACGTTTCGTTCTGATTGGGCCAAAGTAAATTACAAAGAAATTACCTAATGGAGAAAGGAATTACTAATTCAATTCAATTCAATTCAATTCAATTCAATTCAATTCTTACTTATTTACGTGTTAATTCAACAGCCCAAGGGTCAGTTACAAAGCGAGTACGATAGAAAGTAAGTAACAGGCACAAAGTATAGAACAAGGCAATTTATAATTAAATCGTAATAATAATAAAATCAGAGTTAAAATGAAGGAGGTGATGATAATGGGTATGATAATAATTCAATTAATTTACATTTGTATGCGTGCGGTAATAATAATAATCATCATCTCATTTATAGGCCTATGTATTTATATATTTGAAGTAGAGTGTGTTCGGTCCAAGGTGAAAATTAAACGTAATATTGCTGTTAGAAGCAAAAGAGTAACTAGTTGCAGTTAAAATTAAATATAAAATAATTCAACAGTTCAATTTTTACTGTAGTTTCAAGATAGATGAGCATGGATAATGGTTTAGGCATTGTGAATACAAAATTGTATCACTAAATTTAAGTTCAATTATGGGCTAGATAAAAGATGCCTACCTCCTTTTTTCTTTTGTAAAAATTAATAGCACATGAAATGTCGTTCTGAAACGGAACGCTGAACTATACAGAGTGAGAGAAACTGATAGTTTTCCGTTTCTCGTAAATTAAGGGCGCGCTGAGTACCCAAATTATGCAGCGTCAAAAATTAATAGTTTCCTTAGTACAATTTATTAAAGTTGGAATTTTGAAAAAGCTTGGCAAGCGCTTGTCATGACTCTTCGCATTCCAGACAAGTGTGGAATTTAATGACTGGTTTAGCAACTTCTGGCTTCTCAGAAATACTCTGTTCCATGCAGGATCCAGAGGTCCAGGCTTGATTCTCGGTAATATCAAATTTTCTGAGAAGTAGTGGGTCTGCAACGGAGTCCACTCAGCTTCATGAGGATAATCGGGGAGCTGTTTCAAGGAAATAGTGGCTCCAGCATAGAAAACCGAAATTAACGGCTGCGGATTCGTTGCACTGACCACACGACGCCCACTACCCGCTAAAGTTGGCACTAACTTCGTCGACAAGGGGCGATCGCTCGGTCGATATAGTTAGCTTGCTGACTACAGGACACGAAATTTGTTTTTTATTGTTTGTTTGTTACTTAGTGATACTGGAATTGTTGAGTCGTTGAAACCCATACCAAATCTGAAGCAATTACGTCGCTGATGAAGCCCGGAAAACAATAAAACATATAACTGAACAGATAAGCGTAAGAGAAACTCTCTACAACAACATTCTGAAAGTGTTCAGTTCGAATCTCGGCCGAAATACCTGCTGTCCTGAGAAAATTTTTCGTTGTTTTCATCATTTCATTCAGGTTAATGTGGGGTTGCACATTCATCAGACCAAGATCCTTTTCTTCAGAAATATTTCCAATTAATAAATCATCAATCATCGTAACAATCGACAAAATTTGGAACAGCAACTAGTAGCTTCTTAAAATATTCAGCTCTCAAAACAGAAGAAAAATAATACATAGCCTGCCGATTTGTTTTTCGACAAAACGCGCAAGAATAAGAATTCTGAGACCCGTAAAGACAAAAATATTTTGAACATTCTCTCTACTTAATTTTACAGAGATTTCTCACCGCAGTCCGTTGACTGTATCATTTGTTCACCCCGCTGATTTTCTAGAAAATTTATTCGTAGTAACACGTACGGTCTTGTATAGAACTCTTCTTGGTTTATGCACTGATGAAATCACACAGAAACATCGACGTTTCTACTCAGTAAGACAGCGATAACTAACTGAATATTTCAGTACTCGACACATATTACAAGAAAATATAGATACGGATATGTAGCAGTAATTAATAATTTATGTTCATATGACAGTCGTGCGAATTTCTGAAGTGGGAGTGACACTAGCAACGTTTAATCTGAATTTCTGTGTCGCGATAAACCTATGCTTTCTTCTTAGGTAGTTATAATTTAATAACTTATAAATAAAGATAATATTGTGGAAAACAAATTAATAGCATTTATTTAACTTAGTTATAAGAATTCTGGCCAGAAATTCTCATTCGAAATTTTTTCATGTCCCATGCAATTTTCACATAAAATTATAACGATATTATTTCGCATTCGAATTCAGTACTTTATCGAATTTTTAAGTAACATTCTGTATATATTAACCCCGAAGAAAGTAAGATAATTTCTTAAATAAAATTTCTTGCCTGTCTCGACCGATTTTGATTTTTTTGTATACAATATTTAAGAAAAGTTTTAAAATTGGAAATAATTTCCGTAACTCGGTCTTAATTATTCTTCAGTGCACTGCTGAATGTGTCATTTGCCTCCAGATCGGAATCTATTTCTAAATTATATTATAGCCAAGGATGTTGTAAACTTTCAATGCATAACCCATTGCACATTTTCTCTTAAGATATTCAATTCCATCACAATTTAAAAACAATATTAACCCCTGTAAATATACATATGCTATACCTTGTATAAATATCCTATGTCATGTAAGAAATTCTGTTATAAAATATAGGAATACTTATAAGTGAATTTAATAAAATCAACCGTTACAAATATAGAACAAGCATTTATTTATTTATTTATTTCCAGAAACAATACATACTGAAATATGTAGTTAATAGACGTCTCAAAAATCGTTGTAATGAAGTATAGGTGAATATATTTTCTGAAATGATATTCAAAACCGTTTCATTTTTATAAAATTGAAGGAAGCCAAAATTATATCATTTTTTTTTCTTCCGTGAAATTCAAATTTAATGTCATATAACTAGATTAAAAAAATTAAATACCTTTAGCTATTCTAATAGTATAGCATGTAGGAATGTATTTTGGAATTTGTAAAATAATAATAATTATTATTCTTAATGTTAATATTATTATAAATAATAACTTATTTTGTGAGATGGCAATTTAAAATAGGTATGCTTGTAATTATTTCTGATTCTGATATATTCTGATGGACTCTATTCATTCTACTATTACTGTATATATAAGTTCTGATTAATAATGTGGAGAAAGTTAATCCCCAATTTCAGAAATATTTTAGAAATTTTCGTAAAATATGGGGTTCTTTATTAAATCCGAAGTGATATTCAAGATAAACGGAATTACAAAAAATAAAACAGTATTTCAAAATAGACAATATTTCGATCATAAATAATTATAGATTGTGAAAGGTCTACTTTTTTAAAAAAAATACGGTATAATTCACCTATATGTTCTTAAGAACCCAGTTCGCTCAAATTATGAAATATAAATTGTTTAAATCTGGAGAAGCAGATCTGATTGTGTGAGCGCAAATTTCGCAGAAACCAGAGGCAGAACCGCCTGTGCAAAGCGCTTCCTCCGACCGCTCTTACGGCACGATGTTCTGCTTCTGTACGCCGTCAGCTGCCGCGGTGACAACGCGCGGTGAAGTCTACTTATCCCCTTGCGTTAAATACTCAGACATTGCTACATCTGAATAGAACACAGGAAGCTTACTTACATTGCCATCAGAGAACACTAAACACCAACATCTACATCACTGAGTAAAACTTAAATAGAAATATTATCTTCTACGAATTTTATGAAAATTTGTTCTCTTGTAAACACCACACAGAGATTTAGAAATCACAAAGATGGAATTTATCGCCGAACTTTATATTTTTAACACACGGTTTCGTGAAATCAATCGAATGTTTTCCTAATTCTGAAGCAATTTTAGCTAAATAATATATGATTGTATTAATAAGAAAAAAGTAATTTTCATCGTCCGTTTAAGAAGCAACATTATGCAGAATAAAATCCATCCGGTCTTTAAATTAAAACAGTTCCGAATAAAATTGCCTAAATGATACTTATTGCCTTGTTTTGTTTTTGCTTATATATATGTGTTAATTCTGTTAGTCTCTTCGCTCGTGCTTACTTCATAATTGGCCTTTAAGCAATTGATAAACTCGTGAATAAAAAATTGAATTGAAAGCAATATAGTTACAATTCTTATGAGACTGAAGGGCATTACCCTAAAAGTACATATTTTTATTTTTTCCAAAGAGAGTAATTTTATTTTCCTTGCATTTGTATAAGAATTTTTTTATTAATTTATTTCTATAGTAAGAGTAAACAATTACAAGAAAAGAGATACGAATCGAAAATAATTACAGATTACACAAAGTTTCAACATTGTGAATAAAAACAAAGAAAAAGTAAACACAAGCTATTAAAAATTTGATTAAATATGATACATATAATTAATATTATTAACATTAAAATATTATGTTATGTTAACCAAAGATTACTGTATTTGTATTCAGAAGGGCAGCTACGAGTACATTCACAGGTAATTTCAGTCTTCTGGGATTTCTCACGCCAACAAACTGCATAAAAGTTTCAGAAACTCCAAAACAAACACTGTTTCCGAGAAGAGGAAAAATAAATTAATATTGAAATATTTAACGCAAGAAATTAATTAGGCCTATTTCAAAATTTTGTCTTCAATTTATAGCTCCTTTAGGCGACATAATAGTCATAGGGTTGTTTTAATATTTACTTGAGAGTTATAGAAAAAATATTCACCAAACAACTTTCTAATCACATACAATGGATGAATTAATATGTTGAAAGTAAAACATATATTTACTATTAGTGTTTTTGAAGTAAACTATGGCACTCATACCGTCACGAAGAGAAACTGATTACTTTCAAATACCATACAGTCGCCCTTAGAGTTTGGGAACATTTGTAATCATTCTTGGATTAGTCATTAACTCTCCTATTTATAAGATTAATAACTGTTTACAAATGACAGATAACTTTACATAAAGTCACAAAGAATTTATATTAATTTTACAACAATCATCTAAGTAAGAAATATTTAGGAAACACTGAACGACAAAAACAATGTATGCTTGGTAGAAGTTTCATACTGAAGAAGAGATATAATGTTCAGAACACTTACCATCACAAGTCGGCTCGAAATTGTCCCTTTTCGACATCCTGGCGTTTGCTCCTTGTCCGTATCTGAAAATGTAAGAAGATCAAATATTTCTAAGTGCTTATGGCTCAATTACAAATCATGAACACAAAAATATATTCCCAAAAATAAGATATTTTTCTAGTTTATTTTATGATACTGTCAGTTCCAGGCTATAGAGTCAAAAAGTAGGGTGACTATTCAATTAACGGGAAAGGATTTGGAAGGAATCAGTCATAATATAATTGAGGTACTATGCCGGATGGACTGAGGAAAACCAAGGCACCTGCATTCACAGTAACAGATGTCTTGGTTAAAACATCAAACAAGGACCCTCCACCTTCAAATACTATTCTAGACATTGCCGCTGTTATAATTTGCTAAGTAGAATATAAATAGAGGTTCAAACCTCTATTCAAATATTTAACTGCCGGCAGGCATAACTCCTAATTTTATTTAACCTTACTATAATAATATACATTTTTAGAAACATTTTTATAACTTCTTTGAGTAACTGTAAATCACGTTGTGGTGGTCCATGTGTTAATTTATGAGTTACTAATTTTTTGGTATTTGATTTACAATGATCGTTGAAGCCATATTGCTTAATATATGATAGCTCAATAAAGATGATAATGATGATAGTGCCATAATGAAAATTCAAGGCTCAATCCTGTGGAACATAGACCTAATTAAAATATTTAATTGCATCTTACTGGCGAGATAATTGCTTTCATGGTGCCCTAAATTCTCATGGACTAAAATAAACTACACAAGGCCAGGAAAGTAAATAATTTTATAAAAAGATAAAACAGTTCCGTCCAATGTGACTGGTGAGTCACCACATTCACACTGGACGGAACTGTTTTATCTTTTTATAATATTTTTAGTGTAACGAACCAGAATGAAACAGATTAAAATAAATAATTTCTCTTCTTTCCCATACATATAATTGGTCCAGTTTCTGAATTCAGATACCATGTATTCAAGAAAGGTGTCTTGGTTTCACAGCGTAAGTGTTCAGATCATGTTCGTCTGGGTAGCATCACGACCATTCTTAGATCTGGATACCAACGCCCTGAAGAAACATATTGCTTTCATCTCCAGGGTCGTGGAAAATCTTCGACCATGTAAATAGAGATAACATGTCCGTTCGACATGTTAATATTTTACGAGTCAACAAATTATCACAGTCTGGCAGGGAAAATCATAATACCAACCCCCATAATAACTTCAAATTTTCAAGGAATATACGGTGTCACAACGCAAAAAGAAATGTATATCTATTGGTTTCAACATGAATAAACTTTCATTTGTCTTAGCTGGATTATTATTATTATTATTATCTACTACAGTCTGACGTTAACTCTATACAAGGTTGGTGCATTGCAAACTGTATGAAACTCAACATCAGTAAAACTAAAGTTATATCCTTCACCAGGAAAACCAACTTACTTATCTACGATTATAAACTTTTTCAAACGTCAATAGCCCGGACCGATTCTGTAAAAGACCTGGGAGTGTTTATTGATGCTAAGCTATATTTCCATGACCAGGTCAATTACATTTTCTCTCAATGTGCGAAACTATTGGGTCTAGTTCGTAACATTACCTACAATTTCTCTTCGNTGTAAGCGTAACGTAAAATATTAATTTATTAACTAAAATTTTTTTAAATAACTTTCTTTAAACAATTCCATCCAACACAAAGTTACAATACCTACTTATGTTTCTTCTTACTACAAAGTAGAGACCTTGGAGAAAATAAATTTATTTGGGTATTTAATGGTCTAAAACTAATTTCAATAAAATAAAATGACTGTATAAAAGCTCTCCTTGTAAGAGATTCACAGAGTTGTGAGACATCGAGGCTCCCACATTTTCTAGATTCACAGATGACTGTAAGGTTGTCAGACTTACGCGCCGGCCGCCTTTACCCTCAGAAAGATTCCTCAATTCTGTTAGAAGCTAAGTCGACCCCAGAGCCATAGTGCGGCTGGAAGGATTGGGTAAATTAAAAAAAAAAAAAAGCAATGACATCATCGGAGATCGAATCCATGACCATCCGGCTTGTAGCATGGTGTCGTGAATGTCTATAATCATCATTAATAATGTTACAAAAGCTGCTTCAGCAATCTTAGTACTGATGCATGAATATAATGTCAAGAAATTAAAATTATCATCCAAATATAAGGTTTAAAATTATCTTTAATAAAACTTCCAAGACATACGAAATTTCTGTTTTCATGTAATGGTAATCTATTCTGGCTAACAGTGCGCCAAGATTAAAGGCAGACCCTAATATTTTGCCCAATGTTTATCGATCTTACAATGTCCATTCTTGATAATAGGTTCCGAAAGACGAATATGAAAAGCATTTTTTGTAGTTTATTTTAAATTACTTTAAAAGCTATACCAGACATTAAAGTGAATGTAAATTAAGAAACGCTAGAACTCTGTATCAATGGTACCTGATAACCAAGAGACTGGAGTAATGTATCTTTTATATCAAAAGAATATTTAAACAAAAATGTGTTTCGGCTTGCAGAACGAAATAGAATAGTATGAAAAATTGTGGGTAGGGAAAACGTGTATCTGGGGCCTGTTGCAGCACAAATTTCTGTGGATGAGATACATCAGGGGCTCATTTGCTAATCTTAATCTTGATATTCGCCTGGTCAGCAGTTGACAATGACTGAAGCTATTCAAAAGCGGGTGTCCTGAAGATGTGACGTGAAGCATTAGCGTGAATGCCGGACCTTAACGTCCAGTAGCCTATATGGAGACTATAGAGCTATTTCTCTTTGCATTGCACTGAACATTCAGTGCACCAAAAACTACTTTACAGATAATTCATGCGGTGAAAGTTCCAGAGGTTCTTTCTCTCCTTCTACCCCCAAATATCCCCCAAGCCCCATGTTCAAGGGAGGCCTTGGACTGCCCACCCCTACGAGTCTCTTCGTTCGTAGCCAAGCTAGACGCTATATTTTTTACCGAGTCTTTCAGATAGACCCTCTCTAATGCCTATGCTCCATGAAAACACGTGGATTGAAAAGTTTTTGGGGTGTGGTTTGTCTGTATGGTATAGGGGGGGTGGGGGTGTAACTGCAGTTTTGTACGCAGGCCCCTTGCTCTGAGAACTTGGAGGCCATTACTGGAGGAGGTTGCGCGCGGTGTGTCCTGCCCTCCACAGATCAATGACTTACAACGCTTTTCCAAAAACACAAGAGTTTTCCAGCACTAAAATCCCCTTGTGGTGGAGGAGTGAAAGAGAGAAAGAATTCAAAGGGCGGAGCTTCTAGAGCCAACCCCCCTAATGCTCTCGAAAAAGGGACATAAGCACCTCCCCTTTCTAGAAGAATTAATTCATCCCCCACAACCTCCCCCTCAGTTTCCGCGAGATGGAAGCCATGGCGAAGAGAGAGAAAGAGCCGTGGGCCACACCCAGCAGGCCCGATGACAGAGTATACATCATAAAACACATAGAGAAGGTTCCCTCTCTGGCACGTTTGAATTACGACACAGCCTGCATCACAAACAGTCATAAAAAAAAGCTTGATTACTCATTAGGTTGGAGGAGGCGTCAGAGTCAGGAGAGGAGAGGGAGTGGTTAGTCGGGCGCTCACGGGGGACTCATGTCTTCTCAAACCTCCCTTCCTCTCACTTGCGTTACGTTGGGTTGCGTTGCGTTTTGGGTCTAGGTAGAGAGAAAGAAAGAGAGAAAAAAAATAATAGCAAACCTACCCATATGGACATACTTCAATTGCTGTGCGTCCAAATGAAAATGCAAGCATATCATCATCAGAGCTGGTCAAAATGAAGAAAATGCTTCGTGTTCACGGAAGACCTCTACCCCCCCATCGCATTCCATCCCCTAAACCAGACCACATAGAGGAAAAAGTACAGTGTAATTATAACAATATTATAGCTTTTCATCAATCAACGGTCACTAGCATGGCCACTTGAGGCAGGCGAGTTTGGGGGTTGCATCGGATGAGAAGAGATGCAGGACGGTTACCTTTCCTACTTGTAGGGCTGCATGAGGGAGGGTAGGGGGTTGCAAAACTGTTCGACATTTTTTACTGCCAATATTTCAAGAGTTCTGTCGTTTTTTCCTATACGCATTGTGCGCACGCATCTTGTCAGATTGGCGCGTCTGTGTTCTCGCTTTAATTGCAATGACCGCGGCAGAATTCAAAAAAATGACTCACGAGGACAACACATGATCTTTACCAAACACTTGTAACAGAATAGAAAATTCGTTGCAATACGTCACAACTTTCTACCAATGTGTGTTTGAAGAGCTGTGATGAAGATTGTCAGAGTGAAACCATCTTTACACAATCTTCTCCTTCGACATGTGAGAGCGTATTTATTTCACTTATGCACATAACTTATTTAAAGGTACTGTCAGCTGTAGTCTAGTGTTCAGAGTTCCCGGCTACAGAGCCAGAGGTCCCGGGTTCGATTCCCGGGCGCTACCAGATTTTCTCAGAAGTAGTGGGTCTGGAACGAAGTCCACTCAGCCTTGTGAGGATACCTGAGGAGCTACTTGAATGGAAAAGTAGCGGCTCCGGTCTAGAAAACCGAAATTAACGGCTTTGGGGATTCGTTGCCTGTTCAACTTCTCTGAAGCCAGGGACGTCATAAATACACATATGTTTAAAGTTAGCTTAGAATTTATGTCCTGGATTAAGATAAGAACGACTCATGATTATCAAATTATCGCTCTAGATTTTCATATCGAATAAAATTACTTATACTTGTTTTCCCCTTTCACACTCCCTCGCTTTGTCTGTTAGAGGATATTAAAGACTATTAATATTGATCAATTTACTATCCTAACCCTATCATAATATTAAAATAGTAGCAAACAATTGTACTACCTTCAAAGACCAAACATGAATTAGCAGGTTCGGTCTGCTTACGTAAACAGAAGTGAGATATATCCTACTTTACCCTAAAGATGGAAGCAGTAGTCTCATCCGAAACACTGATAACATTGTATGAGACTACACGATATCACACCCCACAAGACTAACTACCA